AGCGGCAGGGCCATGTGTACCTTGTTCTACTAGTGCATGCTCATGCAGCTAAATGCTACAGAGGGAAAGGGTACGCACAATAACATGACGAACATAAATATCGTAAAGGTATACATCCGTACTAATTATAACGGAGAAGTATCCTAATGAATGTGACAAACCGAATGCATGAGGTCCCCTAACATCAAAACATCGTATATACTTATAATGCAAGTCATTTCTCAATTATTTCTCTGACATAGTGTCTCTATGAGATATACATACGTGTTATTTGTCATATCTTTCATATTTAACATATAAGACTTTTTAATATCTCATCGACATAGATCTAACGTATCAATGTAGTTTACATAGCGTGACACATGGAGTTCATGCATCATAGCATAATCAAGTCATAATATAGCGGATAACATAGTATATTTTGTAACACTGTATAACATATATCGTAGTATAAATATAACATAGCACATGTCAAGAAATTATAAAACATGACATACGTAGGGGTTAGCTACTTACTTCATTTGCCTAAGCTGAAGTCACTAACTTATGCTTTTTTTTACCGTTAACACAATACATAGCTTAGTTCATCAATGGTGTCAATTTAAATCCCTTTTGGTTAAAAAAAATAAAAATCTTAAATTGATCAAAAGGTCGTCAAACTGACCTCAATTGCTTTTGAAAGCTATAATTTGCACCGAAATGGTAAATATTGTAAAACGGAACTCAAATGAAGCAACTCAAGCCAAATAGTCCACTTAAACGGTTAGAGTCAAGCTGAGACAAGCCAAGTCGAGCGACACTAGAATCAGAGAGGCACAGGTCGAAGTTGGGTAAATAGATTAGGTAAATGAGTCGGTCACAGGCAGGCGCACGGGTCAAAGTCAAGTCAAGGTGGTTCGGGTCGTGGGATGTGAGTCGATTCCTGATTGGTTGTGGACTCTTGGGTGAAAATGGTTGGGTCGTCGGGTTCTGGGTGACACAATCGCGCTTTCGAAGGCAGCGGACTAGCGATTGTGCGGCACTCACTTTCCAGCAACGAGTGAGTTGAGCCTATTTGTTCTTGCGTCGCCTACGGCCAAGCGACGTACGGTCGAGCCTCTAGCCTCAGTTTTTAAAAGAAGGTTTTAGAAAACGAGGAGAGAGAGATTTTTGAAAGAGAGATTTTAGAAAGAGACGTTATATAGCAAGCAAGAGAAAGATAACAACGGCTTAGCATATATAACCTTGGGTAGGGAGAAGTTGACGACTAGTCATATCCCCCTATAGTACATTCTGGGCCATTTTAGTTCTGGCAGGCGTACACATGATATTTTTGAGGTGTCATACGCTTTAGAATTACAAAAGGAAAAACACTAGAATGAAAAGACATGACAAGGGTTTGGCTTGTCATGGGCATGCGGCCATGGGCGACAAGCCCTGGACAAGCATGACCGTGACATCCTCCCCCACCTAATTGGTTGACGTCCCTGTCAACCGACTACTTTCATACCTTGCGATGTGGGTGGCGGCGAAGTTCAGATCTTCGGCGCGTTCCCAGCTTGTTTCCTCTGTAGGGAGATTCTTCCATTTGACAAGGAATTCACGAATCGTCCGTACAGGTCTTCCTATCTTCCTAACCCTGTCGGCTAGGATCTCTTCCACTTCCTTTGTTTCTTTTTGCTTCAGATCGGTGTTCGGTCTTGTGGTTGCATTGCGTTGGTCGTCGTCTGGATCAGGGTGATAGGGCTTCAAGTTGCTCACATGAATGACGGGGTGGATTTTCATCCATGCGGGTAGTGCAACTCGGTAGGAGGTAGCCCCAATCTTTTTAAGGACTTCAACCGGGCCTTCATATTTACGAACTAGTCTCTGGTCCTTTCGGCTTCGAAATCTGATCTGTTCTGGTCTCAGCTTGATAAGGACTTGATCTCCTGCACGAAAATGAAGGGGGCGACGCTTCTTGTCCGCCCATTTCTTCATATGCTTGGAAGCCTTCTCTAAATATGCCCGGGCTATATCTGTCGTCTGCTTCCATTCCCTCGTAAAGTTGTGAGCTTGAGGGTTTTTTCCTGCATAAGGATGATCAATAATATGGGGTAAGGCCGGTTGTCGTCCACTTACAATTTCGAAGGGACTCTTCCCTGTAGATGAGCTGGTTTGGCAGTTGAAGCAAAATTGGGCGACATCTAACAATTGTATCCAGTTCTTTTGGCGAGCGTCGACGAAGTGACGTAAGTATTCTTCGAGCAAGCAATTGAACCGTTCTGTCTGTCCATCGGTCTGAGGGTGATAACTCGAGGAGATGTTCAAGGTTGTTCCCAAGAAAGCGAATAACTCAGTCCAGAACGTCCCAATGAATCTGCCATCCCTATCACTGATGATGCTCGACGGAATGCCCCATAACTTTACAACGTGTTTGAAAAACAGTTGGGCTGTAAGTTCCGCCGAGCATAATTTGGGAGTGGGGATGAATGTCACATATTTGGAGAATCGGTCTACAATAACCAAGATGGCGTCATATTCCCCGACCTTTGGGAGGTGCGTTATGAAGTCCAGAGATACACTTTCCCAGGGTCTCGTTGGCACAGGTAGAGGTTCCAAGAGTCCAGAGACTTTGGCTTTCTCGACCTTATCCTGTTGGCAGATGAGGCACGTCTTGGTGTATTGCATGATGTCGTCTCGCATGTTTGGCCAGAAGTACCCCTTCTTTATTAGGGCGTATGTTCTTTGCCACCCTGGATGTCCGGCCCACAAGGTATCGTGACATTCTTGAATGAGCTTCTTCCTCAGTTCCCCCGTTCTTGGGACGTACAGTCTGTTTCCTTTGGTTATCAGGAGGTCCCCCTCAACCCAAAACTGCCGTGTCTTTCCAGCCTTAGCTAGTTCGACAACAGCTTTGGCCGATGGGTCTTTGTGTAAATGTTCCTTGATGATGTCGCGCATCGATCCATCGATCTTACTTGAGTGAATATGGGCTAACATGCACAGGGCCGCATGTTCGCCCTTCCGACTCAGCGCGTCGGCTGCTTGATTACTCTTTCCTGCTTTGTGTTCGAACTTGAAGTCGAATTCGGCCAACGACTCCTGCCACCGGGCTTGTTTTGCTGTTAACTTCGGTTGCTCAAAGAAGTGGCAAGTGGCGCTGTTATCCGTCTTCACTACGAACTGTGATTCTAAGAGATACTGTCTCCAGACTCGAAGGCATTGGACTACAGCCAGCATTTCTTTCTCGGAGACAGTGTATCTTCGTTCGGCATCGTTGAGCTTTCGACTTTCGTAGGCGATGGGGTGGCCTTCTTGAATAAGGACTCCACCGAGAGCAAAGTCGGAAGCATCGGTTTCTACTTCAAATGGCTTAGTGACGTCTACCAACCCGAGGACAGGACCCCTCGTCATGGTTGTTTTCAGATTTTCAAAGGCCATTTGACAATCATTCGACCACGACCAAGGGTGGTCTTTCTTCAACAGCTCTGTCAATGGGGCGGCTCGTCGTGAAAACCCTTCGACGAACCGCCTATAATAGTTGGCTAGTCCTAAGAAGGACCGCAATTCAGATACGGAAGTAGGAACCTTCCATTCTTGGATAGCTTTTATCTTGTCGCTATCCATACTAATTTGTCCACATCTGACGACATGTCCAAGGAAGTTGATGCATGTTTGTGCGAATGCACATTTCTCCTTCTTCACATACAGCTGGTTCTGTCGGAGCTTGTCAAACACTAACTTCAAATGCACTTTGTGTTCCTCGAGGATTGTACTGTAAACAACAATGTCGTTGAGGTATACTATGACGAACTGATCCAGGTATTCGTAGAAAACCTGGTTCATCAACGTGCAGAACGTAGCTGGGGCGTTTGTCAAGCCAAAAGGCATTACTAGGAATTCAAAGGCCCCATATCTTGTTACGCACGTCGTCTTGGGTTCGTCCCCTTCGGCAATACGTACTTGATAATATCCTGATCGTAAGTCCAACTTCGTGAAGTACTTGGCCCCGTGAAGTTGGTCGAACAAGTCGGATATTATCGGCAGAGGATATTTGTTGCGTACTGTCACCTTGTTTAAGGCTCTATAGTCTATGCACAGGCGCAACGTCCCATCTTTCTTCTTCTGGAATAGTACGGGGGCTCCATAAGGGGCCTTTGCCGGGCGAATGAACCCCGCCTTCAACAACTCATCCAGTTGTTTCCTCAATTCGGCTAGCTCGGGCGGAGCCATCCGGTATGCGTTCTTTGCTGGCAACTTAACCCCGGGAAGGAGTTCGATTTCGTGGTCAATGCCTCGACGAGGTGGTAGTGTTTGTGGTAGACTCTCTGGCATGATGTCGGTATAGCTGTCTAGTACTTCCTTGATTTCCTCTGGGACAGTCTCTTCGGTGGTTGCTTCTTCTATCAGTGGTATGGCCATAAACGTAGGTTCCTCTCGTGCGAGTCCCCTTTTCAGTTGTATGGCCGAGATCATTCGAAGATTACCTGGTTGCTTGATGCTTGCAGGTATTACTGTGGGATTACGGTCGGTGATCACCAAGCATTTTGCCAATGGCATTGGGATGACCTTGTGTTCTAGGAGGAACTCCATCCCAAGTACCACGTCGAAGTCATCCATGCGAACCACGACAAGGTCTAGCTCTCCAGTCCAATCCCCTATTTTGAAGGGGACTCTCTTGGAAACTCCCACAATAGGCAAGGCCTCGGAATTGACAGCTTTCATTTTCCCCGGGTCTTTTCCTATGGTGAGTCCCAATCTTCTGGCTTCTTGATCGGCAATGAAGTTGTGGGTTGCTCCAGAGTCTATCAAAGTGCTCTTGCTCGGTTGAGAGTTTATTGTGGCATCTACGAACATGAGCCCTTTCTCTAGTACCTCCTTCGGTTCGACTTTTCGTTGGAGGGCCGACAAGAATTTGAGTGCGCCCATTCGGGGGTTGTCGTGATCTTCCTTCTTGTCTAGCAAAGTCTCGACCCTTGCTTCATTGCTCTCTTGAATGGACACTTGAAGTGCAGTGAGAGAGGCCCGATGAGGACAGTATGATACTTTGTGGGGGCCTTTACACAACATGCATTGCAAAGGTGTCGTCGGGTGGTTCTTTTGATGGTAATGCCCTCGAGAAGTCCCCGCTTGATTGTTCTGAGGAGGTCTATCCGTCCACCCATTCGGTCTGTTGGGACTTCCATTTCGCTGGCCTGGTGGTCTGTATGGTTTGCCCCCATTGTTTGGGGCTGGTGTCGCTCTTCTTTGGGATCCTGCTTCGTTCCCACAGTCTACGAGTCTCTCGGCGCAGGCCATTGCGGCAGCTAGGGTTTGGACCCTGCTCTCATGTATCTTTGTTTTGGCCCACGGCTGTAGACCATTTATAAAGAAGAACACCTTGTCCTTCTCTGCCGTGCCCCTGATATCCAGCATCAGGGTTGAGAACTGTCTGACGTAGTCCCGTATGTTTCCAGTGTGTTTCAGGGCTACTATTTTCTCCATTGCTATATGCCCTGCGTTTTCGGGGAGGAATTGTTCCCTCAACTCTCTCTTGAGGTCCTCCCATGAGTCGATGGTGCACAATCCATCCTCGATGTCTTGCACCTTCGTACGCCACCACAGTTTGGCGTCGTCTACGAGATACATCGCGGCTACAGTCACCTTCTTGTCGTCGGTACAAGCCGTTGTGGCTTTGAAGTACTGTTCGACGTCGAAGATGAAGTTCTCCAACTCCTTGGCGTCCCGATTCCCTTTGAAGGCTCTAGGGTCTGGGAACCTTAGTTTGTTGGATCCTGTATTAGTTTGTCCAGCCGCGACACCTTCCACGGCTTTCATGGTAATTTCAATTCGAGTGCTCATGGCGGCCATCCTTTCTTGGAGGTCGTCGACTGTTGATCTGAATTCATCAGCCAATCCATTGAACAAACTCATCATTGTGGTTTGTAGTACGTCGAACTTTTCGCCACGTCCCTCTTTGTGTGCGACAGAGCTATCCGGAGTATCAGACGGTTTTGGGCTGCTCGTAGGAGCAACTCTTTCTTCGAGCGAGGTCACTCGAAACAATAGTTCTGCGATTGGCAACCCATCCAGGCGGTTGCCCATTGCGTCGACTTTGACGACTTTCTCGCTCAGTTCGGTCACCCGTGTTTCCAGGAAACGGAGGGTGTCAGGGACTTCTTTGAGGAACAGCATTTCCTCCTCTATTAGCGTAAGCCGGTCGGCTTGTGCTTTGGGTGTCGACTTTGTTGTCGACATGATCTCGGTCTGTATGACGTTACGGAGCTAACAAAGCTCTGATACCACTTGACACAATCGCGCTTTCGAAGGCAGCGGACTAGCGATTGTGCGGCACTCACTTTCCAGCAACGAGTGAGTTGAGCCTATTTGTTCTTGCGTCGCCTACGGCCAAGCGACGTACGGTCGAGCCTCTAGCCTCGGTTTTTAAAAGAAGGTTTTAGAAAACGAGGAGAGAGAGATTTTTGAAAGAGAGATTTTTGAAAGAGAGATTTTAGAAAGAGACGTTATATAGCAAGCAAGAGAAAGATAACAACGGCTTAGCATATATAACCTTGGGTAGGGAGAAGTTGACGACTAGTCATATCCCCCTATAGTACATTCTGGGCCATTTTAGTTCTGGCAGGCGTAGACATGATATTTTTGAGGTGTCATACGCTTTAGAATTACAAAAGGAAAAACACTAGAATGAAAAGACATGACAAGGGTTTGGCTTGTCATGGGCATGCGGCCATGGGCGACAAGCCCTGGACAAGCATGACCGTGACACTGGGCTGCGTATGCATGTGGGCTGGGGCGAAGATTGTGGACTGGGTCATAATAATAAAGAAAAACCTTTAACTACTTTCAATTTTGGTTTAATCATTTAAATTTAATTTTAAATGGTTTTTTAATTGTCTTGTTTTAACTTCAATTTAATTTTTAAGATAAGTTTTTATTTGGTTAGATCGATTTGTTATTTTTAAAGTAATTATCCCTTAAGTTTAGGGTTTAACATCTTTCATTTTAGTAGGAAGGATATTTTCCTAATTAAAGGAGAAAATATAGAAAATGCAACCGTCTCGTCTGTGTTTAACACAACTTTGTTTTTCCATTTCCACCAAAAATAGCAAATGAAAAAGAATTGGTATTTATAACTATGCTATGGATATCAACCTAAAAACATACCTGGCAATTAATTTTTTTTAGGTGGATATTAACCTTAAATTAACTACTGAAACAACTTTAACAGCTTGTTGAACTCAAGTTTTATTTTTTATTTTTTTCTATATAATAAATCAAAATCTAAATACTGTTTGATTAAGCATCAACAAAAGAGATTTGAGTATCTAAAAAGAATAAAGCCTTTAACCAGCTTTGGTTTTATCTTATTGTTTGCTTTGGAAAAAAACATTATTATTAATACATGTTTTGCAGTATCCAACAAACAAGCCATAGAAAAAAATTGGCATTTACAAGAAAGTAAATGGCAAGAGACTATTTACAATTATCAAACAAAGTTAGTTTTAAATGCTCATTGCAATTCAAACGACGATGATTTGAACAAACGCGTTTTGGAAAAGCAAGCCCAATTCAACTAGAGTTTCGGAATGAACTTTTGGCATACGACTTTGTTTTGGTGCAATTTTAAAAGTTTGAATGGACATGCTTCATTTGAGGTATTTTGGCCAGAGAAATCACATTGGCTTTCTCAACGATGCCATGCTACAAACTGCACTTGGGCAGCTTTTAATGATGGATTTTACTTAAAAAATACTCATTCCAAGAAGTTAAAGTTTATACACCCTTGGAAAAACTGAAGTAAAATCTCCCTCACTCATTTTGGACCCACAAAACCTTTTTTTTTTTTTTTTTTTCTTTTCTTTCATGTTTGATTGCTTTAGCATGTAATAATTTTATGGAGAGTTGTGGGGTTTCTTTATAGACTTAAGATGTTGTATATTTAAGTCTAATAAAAGTGGGAGGAATCTTTTGGGATTTTATAGTTCTTTGGATGTTGATAATTTAATTGTGTTTCAAGTTTTTACTTGTAAGGACCCATGTGCAAGCTTCAAATCTTGATTTGGCACTTAATGGCCCGAATATTCCCATAACAATTTTGTCAAGTTATTTGCTCCGTGCTTCTAAGAGTGAAAAATATCTCCATAGACCAACATGAGTCTTCCAGCATGTCCTTTCCTCACTCACATGTTTGCTAGGGAAATTCTTAAGAGGTCTCCCAATTTAAATCTTGGTTAGTAAGTTTTCTTAGTCATCTATACTCTAGGTCACTTTCATTCGCATATAATCTTGGTTTATTCATGTACTCTATTTTATTCGAGTATCACTCTACACAAAACCCTTTCAGGATAAGGAATACTTGAGATTTTAAACTTGAAAGGGTAACAATTTAAGTCAAAAAGAAAATAGGTATAATAATTGGTTATGATAAGGTTAAGATCATAAATAAGATATATACAAGGAAAATAATCTTTATAAGACTATGAAAGGGAAGAAACTATGTGAAGATAGAGGGAAGAGATCAAGGAGAAATACCCAAGTAATTCCAATATCAAGATTTCGAGGACAAAAGTTTCTTCTAGAGTGTATGATGTATGAACTAAAAAAAAAAAAAGTAAATTATTTATGCGTAATTAGACAGTTTAAATCAATAGGAGTAAGTTTTTATGTATAATTAGGCTTAGCTAGTTTAAATTATTAGGAGTATGTTTTAAATTATTTCATGCAAGATTAGGTGAGTCAACTCCCATAGTAGTTCTAATTTATGATTGTTGGACACTTTAGGCCGAATTAAATTTCAGAGAGCAGCGTTAAGTAGCGCTAGCATCAAGGAGTCGTAGTAGCTTCAGCCTAGGCCAACCAAGTAAGTGGCTCTACTGTCGTAGGATATAGAAATTGTATGTTGTATATTGGCACAGGCCCATAGTTTTGCACGTGTCATAATTTGTATGTTGAGACCATTATGATTTAATACGTAACTGTTATGCAACGTGAATGTTAAGTTGTCTTGGATGAATTAATATGTGATATAATGTGATGTGATATGTTATTCTCGGATTACATGATGTGACTGGTAAGGTATTTATTGTATGAATTGCATGTTATGAAACGTTATGTTGAAAGCATGAAAATGTTACGTTATGTCTTGTGGAATTGAAAGTAAATTAGTTTCTTTAAATAATTAGTTAAGTTTCCGCATTAGGGTATTCTCGAAGGGGTTCATGTTGTGAGGTCTTATAGATATGAGTGCATATTTTTTTTAGTTTCTTACTTACACTTAAGCAAAATCTTTAGGAGGTTTGGCATGAAACTGAGAAAAAAAAAAAAAAAAAAGTGCCAATAGTACAACTACGAAAAGTTAAGTGCCAATAGTACAACTACGAAAAGTTACTCGAAAATGGCTAGAAAATGAAATTATTTAAGTTTGGTTTTTTTTACTAAACAAATGAGTCAAATTTATTTAATTTGAACCTTTCTTAGAGTTTGGTTTAAAAATATCGAAAGAAACTTAGTTTTTTCACATAATGATTTAAGTGTCTCCAATAGGGTCTTCTGAGAGTGGTAATGATTTAAGTGTCTTAGGGTCTTCTGAGAGTGGTAAGGTTGTGAAATCTAATAGACATTATTACATGCTTTTTTTTTCGTCCTTATTTTACACTTAGTACAATCTTAGTTGATATTGTACCATACTAAAATGAGAAAATAATTTTTTTGAATGAGTTAATGACCCTGTCAAAAGTAGGAAAAAAAGTGTAAATGGTACACCTAGGAAAATGAGTCGAAAGTGGTCCGAAAATGGAAGTGTTTAGTTTTTTTTACAAAACATATGTGTCAAATTCATCAAATTTGAACGTAACTTACAGTTTCGTTGAAAAATATTAAAAGTAACTTAGTTTTTTCACATAATTATTTGAGTGTCTCCGTTAGGGTCTTCTTGAGAGGGTTTAGGTGTGAGTACATATTTTTTTTTCTTCCTTATTTTAACCTTAGAAAAATCTTTAGGGGATTTGGTATGATACGAAGACGTGAAAACAACTTGTTCGAATGAGTTAATGACCCTCGTCTCAAAGAAGAAAAAAAAGTGTCAATGATACACCCACATAAAATGACTTGAAAATAGCCCAAAAATAAAACTATTTAAGTTTGGTTATTTTTACTAAACATATGTATCAAATTCAGCAAATTTTAATGTTAGTTACAGTTTCGTTGAAAAATATTGAAAGAAACTTAGTTTTTAAACGTATTGATTTAAGTATCAACATTAGGGTCTTCTCGAGAGGGTTCAGGTTGTGTGGTTTTATAGACATGAGTCCATATTTTTATTCTTCCTTATTTTATACTTAGTACAATTTTTAGTGGTTTTGGTATGATACTAAAACAAGAAAATAACTTTTCTGAACGACTTAATGACCCTCGTCTCAAAGAGGCAAAAAAGGTTCTAATGGTACACCAATGGAAAATGGCTTGAAAATGACCCGAAAATGAAAGTGTTTAAGTCTAGTTTTTTATAAACATATATGTCAAATTCATAAAATTTTAACATTCATTAAAACTTCGTTGAGAAATATTGAAAGAAACTTAGTTTTTTTTTTCACATAATGATTTAAGTGTCTCCATTACCGTCTTCTCAAAAGGATTCAGGTTGTGAGGTCTTATAGACATGAGTATATGTTTTTTTTTCTTCCTTATTTTGTGCTTAGTATAATCTTTAGTGGATTTGGTATGATAGTAAAACGATAAAACTACTTTTCTAAACGAGTTAATGACCCTCATCCCAAAGGGGAAAAAAGTGTCAATGGTACACCTACGGAAAATGACTCAAAATGGCCCGAAAATGAAAGTGTTTAAGTTTGACTTTTTTACTAAACATATGTGTCAAATAAATCAAATTTGAACCTTCGTTACAGTTTCGTTGAAAATAGAAGAGCTACCATTATGTGTGGAGGAAATATCCACTAAAAGGAGACAAGGGACTACACAAATAATTTAGCTCCTGATAAGCGCCACTTTGGTGTGAGACAACGGTTATGGGATACCTGAATTAGGCACTGACAAGCTAGTGGAAGCTTATTTTTATACTCAACCCTTTCCCCTTTTCTTTTCAAGTATGGGGTGAGGTGGGGATGTGCTCGGAAGCTGAACCGTCACAAAGGGGTGTCGATCTGTGGCGTTAGTGTTAATTTGTATTCTTTTCTTAGAGAGTTTTCATTTGTATTCTTTTGGTTTTTCGCACATATGACACGCTTGTAAATAACTAATATAGTACCCGTTTTGTATTTCTATTGCTTTGGATTTTATTGATGGTATTTTATGATTTTAAATGGGACGAAATTTTAACTTATTTTTTTGCATTTTAATTGTTTGATTTACTTTACTTATTTTTATCTTTCGACTTTTGGTCGTAGTCTGATTTTTCAAAAATTCAAAAAATTTTGTCATGATATTTTTGGTATTAGAGTAGCCGAGTTTAGGTCCTATAAACCATTTTTCTAGGTGGAGTGTTTTATACCTCTGTGACTCAACTCTCTGACACGTCATTGTGACTAGATATATTGTTTAGACGTGTATTTTATTATAAGACTTATGAGGATGTAACTTATGAGACTTATGATTATTATGATTACTATTTATGTTGCTTGATGGAACAATGTGCTAGTAACCTAAGTTTGTTGTCTTCCTGATAGATTATGGCTCCTAAGAGAATAGGGACTTATGTCGGGTCTCAACCTAGGAAAGGTAGAAGAAGGGCTGAAGATGACATCGCAATTTCGACACTTAAAACAGGACAACATCCACCCAGGGTGAGGCTAGAGAGCTGCTTCCTAATGCCGACAGAGCCATGCTGTAGGCACGAGTGTCTAAGAGAGGTCGAAGTAGAACCGTGACTTGAGATTTCCTTGAGATAGTTCCTTGGGCACTCGTGCCCAGGAAAATACCACTGGTGTAGCACCCACCCCTGCCAGGGAATCTTTTCTTTAATAGTATTATCTCATGGTGCTCCCACAAGTTGGCTGAGTGTACACACCAGAGCAGGGCAGTGAGGGTGGACAATGAGCTAGAATAGTAGTAACAAGTACTCTTATTTATCTTCAACCGTTTAACCTTTTGTTGGTTGACCTTAATGATATGCATTTATGTATGATAAAAAAAAAATGATTGATGTAAATGTCCACTAGAATTAGATCTTTTAGAACCTATGTGACAGTACCATGTCCTTAATGACTGAGGTGTCGTGGAATGACCCCTTGATACCCAACATGGGAGTGTGTTAAAGATCACGTGTTTGTTTAGATTGCTGTCAGTTAGTATCTGCTTAAATCTCCTTATAATCAAGGGTTTTAGTTTTGGTTTGATTTAGTTTTTATTTGTTTACTTGTTTGTTATCAGAAGATTTTTAGGTAGATTTTGTAAATATCTTTTTGTATTCTTGGTATATATAGGAGACAATTATCAAATGTAGGCAGTTCGTATGGAGATTTATCTGGAGGCTTTGGATCTTTGGGAAGAAATGAGAGAGGATTACGAGGTCCCTCCATTTCCAGCAAATCCTACTTGTAGCACAAATCAAAGTATAGAAGGAAAAGAAGACAAGAAAATCAAAGGCAAAAGCTTGCCTATTTGCAGCTATATCTCAAATGATCTTCAAGCGAATAATGTCTCTCAAAACAGCAAAAGAAATCTGAGATTATCTCAAGGCTGAATAGGAAGGAGATGAGAGGATTTGGGGAATGAAAGTCCTGAATTTGATTAGGGATTTTGAGTTGCAGAAGATGAAGGAGTCTCAGTCGGTGAAAAAGTACTCTGACAGACTTCTCAACATTGCCAACAAGGTGAGATTGCTTGGTTCTATGTTAAATGATTCCAGGATCGTTGAAAAGCTGCTATTCTCTATTCCAGAGAAGTTTGAAGCCACCATTACTACTCTAGAGAACACCAAAGACCTGTCAAAGATTTCTCTTAGAGAGCTCTTGAACGCTTTACAAGCACAAAAGCAAAGGAGGCCTATGAGGCAAGAAGGGGTGACTGAAGGTGTTATAAATGTTAAGAATCAAGACAACAGCAGGTATAAAAACAAGAAAATTTTCAAAAACCAATCGACGAATGGAGATTCATCTACCAATTATCAGAAGACAAAAGGAGGAGGTTCCAAAAAGTTCTATCCACCTTGCCGTCATTGTGAGAAGAAAGGTCATCCACCATACAAGTGTTGGAGAAGACGTGACGCCAAATGCTCCAAATGCAATCAACTTGGACATGAAGCGGTGATCTGCAAAGTCAAAGGTCAGGTGAAAGAAGTAGATGCACCAGTAATTGATCAAGAAGAAGAAGATCAATTGTTTGTGGTCACTTGTTTCTTAGACAAAGAATCAAGCGAGATCTGGTTGATTGACAGTGGGTGCACAAATCATATGACATATGACAGTGAGTTTTTTGAGGAATTAAGAGACACTGAAGTCAAGAGAGTGAGGATTGACAATGGTGAACACTTGGGAGTTAACGGAAAAGGCACAGTAGCTATACCAAGCTAGTACAAAATTTATTCCAGATGTTTTATTTGTACCTAAAATTGATCAAAATCTCTTAAGTGTGGGTCAGTTACATGATAAAGACTATAAAGTGTTGTTTGAGAATAATCAGTGCTTGATCAGAGATGCTAGTGGCAAAGACTTGTTCAATGTCAAAATGAAAGGAAAAAAACTTTACTCTAAATTCGATGGAGAAAGAGTAGATGGCATTTATATCCAGAGCTAGTGCCACTGAGATTTGGGACAAAAAACTTAGGCACTTTCATCATTGAGGTTTGCTTCAGATGCAGTCGAAGAAGTTGCTAATGCCACTGAGATTTGGCACAAAAAAATTTCCTCTTTGTCGTGCTTGTAATTTTGGGAAGAAACATAGACAACCCTTTCCTAAAGAGGCATGGAGAGCCTCGAAAAAGCTGCACCTGGTTCATACTAATTTTTGTAGTCCTCAGCAACACCATCATTAAATGACAATATTTATTACATTGTTTTTATTGATGATCTAACAAGAATGTGTTGGATCTTCTTGCTAAAGCAAAAGTCAGAAGTTGCGGGTATATTTTGGAAATTCAATGCAAGAGTTGAGAATGAAAGTGCATGTTTGATTAAGACTATAAGATTAGATAATGGCAAGGAGTACACTTCAGAAACTTTTCACAAGTTTTGTGAAGAACCTGTATTTGAGTGGGTTTTTAATTCAAAAGTCAATCGTAAATGAAAAAGGCCAAAATGGTGAAAATGAAAGGCGAAGATTTATTTTTGGAAATAGTTAGAATTTCATGGGTCACTAAAGAGTGGCATTCTCACCGGGTTATATTTAGTCTTATGAGAGCTTATAAATATATTGTACTTTCTAATGTGAAAAGTACTAAAAAAAAATAAATGAAATAGAGAAGTAATAGAAGAAAGTTTTTTGAGTTGAACATAGTGTTCTTTGTCTCCTTCTATCATTAGTTTGTGTGAGATTTATTTCACAAATTGGTGAGTTTTTCTTTGACAAGAATGACGTCAGTGAAAGGAGGAAAGATTTATAATGGAGAGGACAAGATGCATACTTCATGAGAAGGATATTCCAAAACGTTTTTGGGGAAAAGCAGCGAACACTGTTGCGTGCTTGCAAAATTGAATTTTAACAAAAGCTGTAAAGGATCTAACACTATTTGAAGTTTTGTATGGTTACAAATCTTCTTTAATGTTCCTTAGAGTATTTGGGTGTCTTTGCTTCACTTACATTCCACATGTCAAGCATGATAAGCTTGACAAAAAGGCAGAAGCTGACATGTTTGTTCGGTATAGCACTATATCCAAAACTTACAGAGTTTTTCAACCACACACTATTCATGTTATTGTGCGCCGAGATGTTCATTTTGCTGGAAATGAGCAGTGAAATTGAGTAGAAGTGACTAAGGTGGAATCAGATTTCTAATGCACTAAACAATTTAATCTTTGGTAGCATGTTAGAAGAGTTTGAAGATGAACAACAAGAAGAGTCTGAAGATGAACAACAAGAAGAGTCTGAAGATGAACGACAAGATGCTTTGGTTGATGATGCACTTGTCAGAGGAGGAGCTTTTTGGTGATCCTGAAAAAAAAATCAGGGAGTTGGTTGATCGACCTATAAACAGAAAAATAATTGGAGTAAGATGGGTGTTCAAGAAAATGCTTGGAGTTAGAGAATCTAAACAAGAGAAGTGTTAAAGATCACATGTTTGTTTAGATTTATGTGAGTTAGTATCGGATTAAATCTTAAGTTAGAAGTTGATTTAGTTTTGATTTGTTTACTGGTTTGTTACTGGATTTTCTACCGATTTTTAGGTAGATTTTCTAAATATCTTTTTATATTCTCAGTACATATGGAGCCTTTTTTCTCTTCATAATACAATCTTCTCATCTACCATTCAATTACTCACTCTTTTACTAAGAGTGCAATATGTACAAAGGGTAGGGTAGTCCTTGGTGCACTCTAGTGGTCAAAGAACTCGAGGGGTTTCGAAGGACGATAGGGATTATTACAACCTCTTTGAATATGGAAGGACGTGAGTTAAGCAAATAACTAAGGTTATGAACTAAGTAGACCTAAGGTTGACCTACCATGGGAATTGAGCATAAACAACTTTCAAGGATAAATGTTTTTAAATAGGGGATAACATGTAATGCTCGAGCTCCAATGAGAATTAATTTTCTCTATTCTTTCTTTAAGATAGACTTCTAAATTTTTATTGAGAGTCTTGAATGTTGAATTTGAGGTTGTGGTAGACATAAAAAAATCCTTATAATGATCCCGAAAACCTAAGATAAATATAAAAAAAAAAAAAAAAGTTAGTCAAAGTCAACCAGGTTAAAATGATCATTTGGGGGTCTCAAGAGATCCTAAACTGATCCTATTCAGAGAAAAAGAGAAAAAGTAAAAAGGAAAAGAAAAGGAACAAAGGGTTACAGTTTACCTTTTATTAGTATGATGATTGAGTGTGTGAGTTGTTATGCAATCAAAATAGTTGGTATCAAATCTAAGAGATACTCAATCCAATCTATGAAGATTGAAAGTTATGATTGGAATCAAGAAGTTTTATGGATTCAATTTCAGTCTTGAAAGATGTATTTGTATCGTGAAGATCATCATGAATTCTTATTTGGGGTGAAGTTGGATACCATGACCATAGAGTTGTAGAAGCTCAAGGATTTCAAAGCTCTAAGGTTGATGACGTTGACGCTGTCCAGAAACGTGACGTTCAATATCTTCAAGAAGAAGACAACATCATATTGATTCAAGGCAACGTCAAATATGTATGAAAAATCCTCAGCTATGAATAAGGTATATTTAATGCGTAGATTGTTCAATTTACAAATATTTGAAATGGATCTATTACAAATCATATAAATGACTTCAATATCATTGTATGTCATTTTGCTATGTGGAAATTAACTTTGAAGATAAAATTAAAACATTAAATTTGATGTCATATTTACCTGAATAGTAGAAAATTTTTGTTATTGTGATCAGAAGTTCTCGAGGATGTGAGAAACTAAAGTTTGATGAATTCGAGATGTAGTTTTCAACGAAATTATTTACAAACGAGAAATTGAAGATTCATTGGAAAGTGCTTTCAGTGTTTATCAGAGGAGAAGAAGTAAATCGAAGGACTCAAATATACATGGTCAATAAAAATCAAAGAACCGAAGAAAATATTCGAACACACCCAAACGTAACGTGTTGAAATTGTAACGATAAGAGGCACTTTCAGACATATTGTACGAAACTGAAGAAAAAGCAGAATAAAAAATCTAGAGATGATAATATTTATATAAGTTCAGGAAAAGATACAGAGGAGGCTCTAATTCAACTCGATTGAAACCTGGATTTTTTATTCAGGTACATCTTATCATTTATCTCCAAACAAGTAACTGTTTTGAAGTTTCAAATTTGGAAATTTTGAGAAGGTGTATCTCGTTGACAACAAAGCCTTGAAGATTGAAGGAACGAGAGATGTTCGTGTACAAACTTCAACAAAAGATCAGTGGACATTGAAGGATGTTAGTATATCTCAAGTCTCTAGAAGAACCTGGTCTCCATTGGTCAGTGGACAACATAGGTAATGTAGTAGAGTTTGAAAAGAATCCGGGTAAGTTTGTGAAGGGTGCTATATAAACATGGCTGCTTTTGCTGAGAGTTTTCCCCTTTAAGTCTATGACACAATTTACTTGAAAGTATGTGCATTAAGTGAATTAAGATGCTCGCTAAAGGAGTTTTAGATGGCCTAAAATCTGTTGACATGGGTTTTTGTGAGAGATGTGTTATGGGCAAGCAAAAACAAGTTAGCTTCACAAATACTTCTAAAGAACAGAAGGAAGTACGGTTGGAATTGGTCCATATAAATGTTTAGAAACCATCTCGAGTTCCATCACTTAGTGAATTTAAGTTTTATGTCACCTTCATTGATGATTTTATCACCAAGTTATTGGTTTATTTCCTTAAACAAAAATTAGATGTGTTTGCCACCTTCAAGAAGTGGAAAGCTAAAGTTGAAAATCATATCGATTGGAAGATCAAATGTTTGATGTCAAATGGTGGAGAAGAGTACAACAAATTAGAATTTAAAGCATTTTTTGTATATGATGGGAATTAAATTAATGATGACAGTATCTAGTAAGACAAGATAAAATGGTGTTGCTGAAAGGATAAAAAGAACATTGAATGAGTGAGCAAGGAGTAGGAGAATTTATTCTAGATTACCAAAGAATCATGGATTGATGTTGTGAATATAACAACCTACTTGATCAATAGAGGGTTGTTAATACCCTTGGGGTTCGAATAGCGAGAAGAGTTATGGACACAAAATGAATTAAAGTACTCTCACTTGAGGACTTTTAGTTACACTATGTATGGAAATGTTGATCCAAAGAAGAGAGACAAACTTGATGTTAAGGTTGTGAAGTACTACTTCATAAGCTATAGTTCCAACCTATTCGGGTATAAATTTTGGGATGACAAGAATAGAAAAATTCTGAGACATTGTGACGGAACTTTTGATGGAAATGTCATATACAAGGAAAAAAGAAGCCTAAAGAGTACGAAGCAAGTGGGAGTTAAGATGAGTTGCAAAAAAATTTACCAAGTAATAACGCTGCAGAATCTAAAGAAACTCGTAAGATTACTGCTAAAAAAATTCGCACCTAAGTAGGTGTCAAGGAGATCATCCACGACTATTAGAACATGTAATAGATATTCACATTCATTACAATACTTGATGCTTACTAACCATGTGGGAGTATGGATGATCAGAGGAGTTCACTTGAAAAGAATAATACGTGGGTATTGATTAATTTATCCATACGTTTAGTGTCCAGAATCAAGACGGAACCAGATGGCAGGAGTTTCAAGACTCGATTGATATTTGACATATATTATGCACTGCGGAGAGGGACGATGGTAAGCCCTATTCTTATATCTCTGTTCAGTTCAATCTACAATGTCAAAAAGTTCGATAAAACATGAGTTAACTTGTCAT